AGCCTGCAGTTTAGCAGCGTCTTGAAAACTGATGTGGGAAGCAACATGTTCAGCATTTTAAATAAAAAATAGTCCTGTCAGCTGATGTCAATCCATGTTCAGTTTACGGCTCGGTATTCAGTTCTCAAAGAAACACCCAGTGATGAACTAAACGAGTAACCTCCCTTCTGAGAACTATCTTAGGAGGCAGCATTTATTCATTTTTTGTTGTTACAAAGATGGATACGTTGAAGTCAGACTTCGTACGAGTTAAGGCGTTCTGCCTCCAGTTGGATTTGGAGACTAGTTCAAATTTGTGATCCGAATGGTTCCCTAAATCTTTTTTACTCTTGCTCTTTTACGACGAACGATGCTGTGGCTGTTCTACCTCACGCTAACCGCTATGGCGTTTGGTTTAGTTGGCTGTATGATTATTCTAGAACTGTTTGAAAATCGCTTATTAATATTCAGAACTCAACTCAGTGCTGAAATTGTCCCAACCCTTGTGATCCAGACGTCACAAACTCGATGGCCTCAATTGGATTTGAGCCCACACCAACAAGGGGAAGGCCATAGTACAGCCAAAGCTCCAAACAACTGGGCTACGTGGTTCCACTGACAGCCATGAATTTAATCACGCGATTAAGGCAATTAACGACTCGGATGCGCGCCACCTATGAATGCGAAGGCTACGAATTGTAATAGCTATGCACTTTCGTGGCAATGCGTGCTATCAATACTGCACCCTCTGCGCGTTTGTCATCCTCGACCGACACGAATGAGGGTGCAAACATCAAGCAAAAAATGTTCGTTTAAGCGATCGCATCTCGTTTCTGTCTGATTTCCGGAACAGACTACCATAGGCGTTGATCATTTCGAGTGCATGAGCGTTCCTACGCCGAAAACATACCTTGCTGTTAAACCGCGGACAAGAACGCTGTGGCAATTAATGAGCAACCACCGCACCAATTAAGACCTCAAGTGGTGGCTACAGGAGCTGACACTTACAGTACGTATGCGGGTGACCGCTACGAACTATAAATACCGTGCAATCTGTGCATGTATCACCCATTTCTGCGCATTTCCAGGCTTACGATTACCTATGACTAAGGATTCCCGACGGAATCCGAAACGTCAGGACAGTAACTATAAATACCGTGTTATCTGTGCATGTATAACCCTATCTGCGCATGTTTCAGACTGTTCTTCGTACCTATGACTAAGGATTCCCGACGGAATCCGAAACGTCAGGAAAATAAAGTGGTGCAGCCTGTGCATATATCCACCTCATCTGCGCATGACCATGCCTATGTTATCATTCCTATGACTAAGGATTCCCGACGGAATCCGAAACGTCAGGACAATAAAACTCATGTTCCAGTGATCGCTTCTTCTTCTGATGTGTTTTATATGGACTTGATGCCAAAATCCCAGGGAACCAGATTTTTCTTTAGGGTGTGCACTGAACGGCTTCCATACATAGTTACGTACGTGGAGAAAGTAGGTAATTCGAGTGCTTTCGTCTGAAGTCTTGTGTTATTTCCTTTGTGTGAAAGCCGTTTGCCGTGTTGTATGCTTTGGAGGGGGTGGGGCAGGTCGTATGTGTCACGTGTAGGCGGGCTATGTAGGTATGTTACCCACTCCTGCGTCAGATGATTGATCGGCTTGGGCAGTATACTGTTTCGTGGGGAAGGAAAGAGGGAGTGAGATTGACTTTGGAGACTTCGTCTCCGCTGCACTCATTCCACAGTCCTCGTTATAAATAATCCGATCGCTGTTAAACTCTCACGACGCACAAAAATCGTGACGCGGAAAGCTACAAACTAAGGGTATAACTCGGTCCTCCCAGGACGGAGTCAGGATG